CCTTCCGACGGCATCGCCCTGCTTCATGACGATGGTCTTGTAATCCGGCATCTTGACGTCCGTTCCGGCTTCACCCAGCTGACGGGTAGAAACCAAGTTGCGCTTAAAACTAGGCACATACAGGGCATCGCGCAGCACCACTTGCACACGCGAACCATCCACGCCATCAACAAACATGCGCGCAGTGCCCACACCTTGGGACAATACCGTGGTCCCGCCCGATTCAATGGGCACCTTGTGGATCATCATGGTCTCAAACAAACGTTCATCGTTGAGGAAGTGGCTGCTGGCACCCGAGTCCACGATAGCCATGCCTTGGTCCGCACGCAGATGAAAATTTGCCTCCTCAGGCCCCTGCAAAACAGATGTATAGGCATGTGCCTGATCATGGCTGTTCTTGCTGCTGTTGCCGCCCTTGGATCCATGCTCCTTGTGCTTGGCCGACCGCCAAGCCTCACAGTCTGCTTTCTTGTGGCCATAGCCCTTGCAGTAGTGACAATTGCCGTTGAACCGGTGCAAGTCCTTGCCCTCCGGCTCATGCTTCCTATTGGATCCACCACGACGTACACCGTGTTTTCCACGACCACGGCCATAATTGCCTTGCCCAGCGTACCTCTGTCGACCACCGCGGCCGCGCCCTCCTTGGGCGTAGTAGGCTTCCTCGCGCTCCATGGGCACATCTGGCATGCACATCACTGCCCTCTTGAGGATGGTCCAAAAAGTCACCATCTTCTTCTTGCTGTCACCCATGGTTTCCATCTTGTCCTCCACGTAGACACGCGCTTGTGTGGGCAGGTTGCTCACCAACTTCTTGACCGTGTCCTCCTCGACAAACCTGCTGCTCATCCGCAGCGTCGACACTGTCAGGTCAATCTTGCGCCGGTAGTTGCTCAGATCATTTTGACTCTGCAGCTTCGTGGTGATCAAATCAGCTTCAGCTTGCGCAAACACGCTCTCCAGCGCCTCCAGATCGATGTCGGTTCGATCAATCCAGTCGTGTAGTATCATTCCACGACCATGGCCGCTCTTGATTTCCTTCCTAAGGCCACTCAAGACTAAGCGAGCTGTTCCGGTGAGACACGTCGAAAGTGCGACAATAATCACATTATTGATTTCCTTGAGCTTCTTGACGTTGTCCTTCGGGCCTGGCCCGTGCTTCTCCTCAATGGCAGCGGCTTGCAAATCCTCCTCCTCCAAGCTCTTGAGCTCTGGCAGGTACGGGACTTCGTAGCTGTCGCAAACGGCGTTGATGACCTCGCGCAGCTCGATCAACTTCATCGTGTCATGGCCATCATACTGAGGCCAGCGCTCCGACTGTCGGCGGATGCTCTTCACGATCTCCGGCAACTCCTCGAGCGCCATGTTCTCGATGTACTCCTCGACACCGGTTTTTCCTTTGGGGAACTCGCACTCAAATGGGAAGCACCCAAGTCTTCAGCTCCTTGACGCAGTGTCCACGCAGTCGAGGCCCATAACCTATTGAAAGACGATTTGAGCTGAGACAGTAAAGCGGTTCAATTGCACTTCTCTCACAGGAGAGAACGATAGAAAACAGGAAGGGAAATATCCAAAAGAAAATGCCACTCACGGTCAGCGGGACCGTACTTATAATCCGGTGGCTAAACACACCCAGAGTGTACGAGAGGGTTCCTCGACGGGCGGCGGCAGCTGCACATCGTCGAGTACACTTATGCAATCCTTCCAGAGGGATCTGGCAGGTGGTCGATGCTTGCACTCCAATACCAGCCCCCGATCCGTTGAGCTTTCTGGGCCAGGTGCTTGCCAGCCGTGGCCCTGCGGTAATTGATGCCACCGTGGCTCTGAGTGCGGGCCTGGACGCTGAAATGACCAAGAAAGAGCTGGTTGAGCCCCTCACGTCCCTGTGGCTGGCCCTGGTGGAGGTGGAGCTGAGCCTCTTTGACAACGACAAGGTGCACTTTGTCAACGTCTTCCTATTGTGCACGGCCGTGTCCAAAGGAAGCGGCATCCTGCAAGACATCAGGCAGTGGACCACGACGCCCGCTGGACTGCTGTACGTTTTCAAATTGTTCCTGCTTCGCCGTGGCAAGAATGAGTCGTGGTCAGTGGCCAACGAGTTAAGGCCGTATATGCAGCCCGGGCGATTGGTGCATTTCTTGAGCCAGCGCATGAGCATGGCACGAACAGCGAGCGTGGCCGAGG